CTCTGCTCTTTTGAGATGTTCTTCAGAAGATGGAGGAAGCTCTGCCTTTAGGGTCATCATTCCGGATGGGGGGGGGGTGGTGGGAGTGGCCCAGCACTAGGAGTCCTTCCTCAGAAGCCCCAGACTGACCCTTCACTTTATGGGCTGTCAGGAGGTGGGCAGTCTTGTCCCTAGGCTTTCCCAGAAAGGCCTGGGAGGAACAGGGAGAATGTTCTGCTCTCCTAGATGCTTCCTCCCCACCCCTGGGCTGTAGGGAGGGGGTGGTAGGGAGTTGGAATCCAAGGAGCCCAGCTGGAGGGCTGAAGGCTGTAACTACCATTGTCCAGGCACTAACCAGGCTGCAGCCCAGAAGTTGCTTGGCTGTTGGTTTTGTATGCTGACCCATGTAGAGAACATGCGTCCATGCCTAGATGCTGAATATGCAGGCAAATAAAACCAAGCCAAATGCTGAGGGGTTTGTTGTTTTTCTAAAGAATTGAAACTGGCTCTTCTGGCCCAACGGTGGAGTCACTTGCTCAAATTACTCCAGGTAGTATAGGTCACTAAAAAAAATGATTTGGAAAGATGCAGCATAAAACTGAGGCCTGGAAGGCCTGCTCTGGTGCTTTTTCTTCTCTTGTGATGGTGGAAGGAGAGGATGGGAGAAGTCACTTGGCCCTGGCCTGCCTCCTCCTCTTCCTCTCTCTGCCCACGGTGTTGAGAGTGGCTGCCTGGTGCTTGGTGCTGTGGCCGGATTTTCAGCCATTTTTCAGTTTCCCATATCACCAGTCATCAGAGCCAGGGCTCCTTTTTGTTTTCAAGGGCACCAGCCTAGCCGTTTAACCCCCATCTCAGTGTGTGCCCCTCCTTGCCAGTCAGGGAGGTTGATAATGTTAGCTGATTTACTGTCACTGAAAAAAAAAAAAGCATCCTTCAATTAGACTTTTACACCCCAGTCAAGACACCCTTTGTGTACTTTTACTAAAACATGCTCAAGACCCAAATCTTTGAGGAGGGGGGGAAATGGAAAGAAAAAAGAGACTGGCAACTTTTTCCAGTTTAAGCTGCATGTTGGTCCATGTTAATTAGGCATTTGTTCCTTAGGCTGGAGGTGATAGAAAATGCCAGTTACTGTGGTATTTAACTGACACCAAACTGCTGTGCAAATACTTCAGTTAGACCTAGGCTTCTTTCTTAATTGGTGGGAAGGAAAACACACCCAGAAAAAGGAGGAAACTGTTACTTTCATTGGACATTTAAATTTTTTCATGCTGGAAGATGGGAGGAACACTCGGGTGTCTCTCTTTAATTAAGTGCCCACTTGTGCTTTTTTAAAAAAACAGGAGCCAGAATCTCTCCTAAAATTTGAGCTGCTCAAAGTGATTCATTTATGCAAGAGTTCAGCAAATGACAGTTTAGTGCTTGTGACCCAAGGTCAAAAAGTGTAGTCACTGCTCTCTGAAGTCTGTATAGATTCCTGTATTTCTTTGGCACTTTTTAAAAAAAATTGTTCCGGAAATTGTGTTTCTTTAGTTTTTTTATAATAAGATTAATCCATACCAGAAATTGCATTCACCAGTTAAGGCGCCATGAGATATATAATTTTTAAAAACTTAATTTGGTGACATAGTAGAAGATAATGTTTTGCCTTGGTAGGAATAATTAGATGAAACATGCTTTTGCTTTTTTTTTTTTTAAAAAAAAAACAACTTCCTTGTTTTCTGGAGGGTGCTCATCAGTAAGAAGAATGTGCCTTATATTTTTTACAGGTATTTAAACCAATTCCAAAATAATGTTTTTATTTTTGTTTTGCTTTTAACTTTAAGTCTCACTTTCTTTGCATTTGGTGTCTAGCCAAAGGCTCATGGTAGAGAGCACTTCAGTTTTAGTAATTAACTACCTTTTGGTGCATTGAATGAATTTAATATGTTAATACTCCTGTAAGGCCCAGAATTGCTTGGCTGCCCCTTGCCCTGCCTGCCTGGTACTGGCTGAAAAGGTACCATTGTTTGTTCTGCAAACACTGGGTGATGTTTGTTTCCAAGGTGACTGATTCTATTGGTGCTCTTTAAGCAAGGGGGGATGGGGAAGAGAGAAAGTTAGTAGCTTCAAACACCTGAGAACATCCTATTTGTGACAGTCTGTGTATGTTGGGTGTGTGTTGGTTGAAATTTTATGTAACCTGAGGTTATTTGAAAGTAAAAGGGCAAGTGTAGAAATGGGAATATAGATAATGTAAAAATGCAGTGTCAGTTAACAGAAAGTTCTCATATTTAATTCAATATATAGTAAATGTTAGAATCAGATCTACTTAGGCTGAAGTAAAATGTTTACACTGGAAAATTAAAGAGCTAAGGGAAAGATATTTTAGATGTTAATACATATTAGGCCATTTTTCTTTCAGTTACAATACATTATTTACAAAAGCCGAACAGATAAATGTTTGGCAGTATAATTAAAGTTGGTTGTTGATAATGTATATGGGCCTTCAAAAAGTGAGAGGACAGATGAAACAATTTTTTTAATTTTGTTTTGTTTTGTTTTCTGACAACTCATTGAGGTGTATGTATCTCTTCCAGAAAACTTCCAGAGACAACAAAATGGATCAGAATCATCCTTTCATGGGTGATACATATTGGCATAATTCGTTAAATTCTGGACGTTTGTATTTTATCATTGAGACCTTGTAGGTTCAGAGACTATTCCGCATGTCGCCCTCCACCCCCTCCAGTGCGTGGATGCGGTTAACAGAACTTTGCCTTTTCACTCCTATCTGGTTTAGTACAGTTCATGCGCAGGTTTCACTAAACATTAACTTCTTTTATCAGGGCTTGCAGTGTGCTGAATGGTTAGTAAAGAGAGTGTACTGCAAGAGACAGATGAAAATGAGAGTTCAAGGTCAGGTGGCTGTTGAATTTTTTTTTTTAATTGTTGAGAATTTAGGGGAAAAGCAAGTCTTTCTGAGGCCTGCTGGCTACAGTTTTGTGTAGTGAGACCAACATGGATTTGTTCAGATGCTGTGAGTGGTTACCGCATCTGACTTTAGGACGTTCTTTCCTCCCCTGAGAAAGCATCCTTCAAGGATAAAAGGTTCTCAAGACCTTCGCAAAGAAATGAGGTGTGACATTCATCAGGGACATTTTCAAGTTCCGGGCAGTGCCTTGTAAAGGGTGACTCGCGTGTGCCCCTCTGATCATCATTTGTATTTCTGCAGTTAGTACAGTAACTCAAAAACCGAAGTGCTAGAATTCAGTATTGCCAAATATAGAATAAACACACATCATGTTAATGCTCTTAGAACCTCGGCTGTCTTTTTTTTTTTTTTTTTTTTTTTTAATAAGAACGTGGTTCTTGCTTTTTTAACCGAAAGGAATAAAATGTCCACACGGGTAGCGAAGCTGCCCTTTTCCTGCCCCTGCGACCCCAGGGTTTTAAAGCGCGGACAGCGGCTCGGCCGCCCACTCGCATCGCTGTTTGCCCAGCGCTGGGTCGGTTCTGGGCCGACGCGGACGGTGGTGGCAGCAACCTTGGGGTTAAAGTTGTTGGAGACGCTCGAAGGCCCCCGTGTAAGCTTTAAACGCTCCTGGGCGGCCTCGGGCCCGGGTCCGTCCTTGTCCAGACGTGGCCAGTGCGTCCCGTGACCCTAGAGCTTCCAAGGCGTGTGACCCCGCGGGGCATCTTCTCAGCTTGGGTCCGCCTTCCCCGGGAAGGGCGTGAGGGAGCCGGGGTGGGCAGCCATTACGCAGGCCTGCCCCGGCGGGGCCGGGTGACACGGTGTGGGGCGCCCGGCCCGCGGAGCCCGGCAGTTCGGGGCTTGTCGGTGACCTCCGCAGCCGAGGGACTTGCAGTGCTTGGCCAGGCTCCACGGGACCTGCAGGACGCTCGCCTCACCTCAGCGCGAGTGCTGGGCATTCCGCGAGTGGGCCGCAGGGACGTCAGTCAGGCCAGCGGCGCTGCCGATTGGCCGAGGCGCCGGCGGGGGCGGGGCGGGGCGCTGGCATCCCTGCCTGGACCTTGAAGGTCTGCCCTCTCAGCCTCTCGAGAGGGATCTCCTGAGGCTCTCACCGCAGCCTGTGGCGGCAGCAGCAGCTTAGTGGCAACCAGAGGTTCCCCAGAGCCCGTTGAGCCACAGAGCCTTAGAATTCTCTCAGCGATTGCTTAGAAAATGTGGGTGCTCTGAGCAAGACCCTCTTCCTCTTTACGCCTTCCTCCTCCTGGCTAGTCCGTGGGCAATCGAGCTCGTGACCACGTTTACAGTTTCGGAAGTTTTCAGAGGCCCGTGCCGCCCTGCTCGCATCCTGTGTCTCTCCCCCACACCCATAAGCCCCCTGTTCGGATCTTGGGTTTCCCTCGATGGCCGTGCTCCCTGGAGGGTGGCACTGGGCCAGTCGCTGCAAAGCTGGACCCACAGGAGGCCCTGTGGAGCAGGAAGTCAGGGACTTCCATGTGGGGACAGCAGTAGAGTGGCAGCAGCCAGGTGGCCAAGCATGTGAGCGCACACAGCTCAGCCTTGGCCTTTGAGCAGTGGCTTTCTCCAGAACGACTCCCATTCCCAGAACAGAGGCAGAGGCGAGCCTCCCGCTTTGCATCCTTCGTGGGAAGCCCCCAGGTTGCAGTCAGTCACCCTGCTGAAAGTGGGGCGTCCTTGTTTATTTGGGTACTGTTTCAAGTTTCTCTTCTTGGGACCAGTTAGTTAGAAAAAGGAAAAAAAAAAAAAAAAAAGCCTGTTTAGCCGCATTGTGGCTTCTACCTGGTTCTGAACTTGCACATCACTAGTGAGGATACTGTTGCCACTGCTACTGATGGCCAAAGGTCACTTGCCACGGAGCCGGTCTGTGCTCTATCTTACTCTAGGACAGTCCACAGGGTCGGCATTGACGCTCCCTGACAGGTGCTCTGGTAACCTTACAGTCATGCGACTCAGAACAATGCCGAAGCCAGGGGCGGTGATGCAGCCTCCAAGAGGTGGCCGTCCTGTACATCGGCACTATAATGGCCTAGCTCGTTTCTTTGTCTTACAGTGTGATGCCTGGCCTTCTACGCTTTGGGATTTGCCTTCTTATTGTACTGTTTGATGACCAGCTCTCTCAAAACGGATCCATCATCAGGGTGAGAACTTTTCCGTGCTACACAAATCCAGCTCCAGAAAGATTCTGATTGAGCTAGTTTAGGTCAAGACTAAAAACAGGTAATTCGGAGCATTTGTGTCAAAAACCTCTGGTGAAGTGGGCACGGCTGTGTTTTTAATCTGAGCATCTCTGAGTTTAAGCTATCTAGAGCCCAACACACACACACACACACACACACACACACACACACACACACACACCTGATGAGACCAATGTATGTTTTTTTTTTCTTTCTGTGTGTGTGTGTGTGTGTGTGTGTGTGTGTGTGTGTTTTGGGTCAGAGAAGAGCATTCAAGAGTCAGTTCTTGGTGGATTCTGGAACCAAACTCAGGTCTCTAGGTTTGTAACAGACACCTTTATCTCCTAGTCATTCTCACAAGCCCAGCAAACTGGAATTAAAAAAATAAAAAAATTAATCTCTAATGAAAGGGTTAAGAATTGGTAAGCCAGGAGTTCTCCTAGCTGATGTTGGCTTGCTGCAAAGCTGAGTTTGCTATTAAACAGCGTACTGTGGCACCTGTGCTGGAACCATCATGGCCCTCAGCACTGGCAGGTGCCACGGCTGCTAATTAATTTTTTAAGAACTCAGAGCTCTGACAGAATTATCAGGGATGCTGAGTAGCAAGGTACCAGATGTTTCTTTTGTTAAAGTCAGGCAGAAGTGGTGTTTCAGGTAATCAGGCTATGGATGTTTAATCTCTTACTCTGACGTTATGGGGCTTAGAGTATTGGCTATTTTCTTTAAGGAGGGAAGGAGAAGGGTATCGTTCTGGTTTCTAGCATGCCTTTCCCCCTCCCAGCATTATCTCTGGTGGAAGGGTTGACTCAATTATCATTAGGCCCAGGTCCCGTTAGAAGAGGGTTAAATGGTACTCAGGGGCCTCTTTATCTGAGCCGTTTTTGCCACAGCTGAACTCGTCAGCCTGCGCCTCTCTCTAACTGAATTCAGTCCTTTTTCATGGAGGAACAACAGTAAAGTCAAAGGCTCCACATGTGGAGCAGACTTTACAGCCCATCAACAGCCTTTGCTGTCGCAGTTCATGAATGCACCATTTGTTGTTTTGAGCACAACTGTTAGATACAACTGGTCTTGCTGCCCGCTCTGCCTCTGACTAGTGAGCATCAGCCCAGCCAGTGGAGTCCGCCCCCCATCCTTGCTTTTTTTTTTTTTTTTTTTTTTAATCCTGCATGGACCAAGTTTTAACTTTAAGTACTCTCATTTTGTCCACACTAGAATTTCTTTGACCCAGTTTACATTTTTCAAATGTGGGATTTTTTTTTTTGGAAATAAGGTTTTAGTTGGCTAAAACTGGTTTGAGAATTCTGAATAAATATTTTACTTGATTGAAGAAAGGGTTGTGTGTGTGTGTGTGTGTGTGTGTGTGTGTGTGTGTGTGGTTTACTTTTGCACACACATGCTTCCCCCCCCGCCCAAGTCAGTGTTCCTTGTGTAGCCCAGGCTGTCCTGGACTTGTTCAATGAACCAGGATGGCTTAGAACTAGAACTAGAGCTAGAACTGCCTCTGTCTCCTGAATGCTGGGGTCAAAGGCCACCACTACCACCCACCAGGCTCACACATGCCTTTTTTATAATTCAAAGACCTTTGTTGTGACTTTGAAATTGAATTTTAAATTGGTTTGAATTTTGAAAGTTCAATCTTTATACATCATCTCTTCATCAAATATTGCCTTCAATTTAGAATCTAATATCGTAAATGCTTTCATAGTAAAAAATAAGCATGTGAGGTGTTGGGTTACTTAGTTTGATTTAGCCATTTTACGATGTATATGTATCAGAGTATTATTATATATATATAATAAAATGTATATAGTAAATACAGCCCTTCACCCCTACCCAGTCTTCAGAATCAACTCAGAGTCTTTGCTGTGCTAGATAGCAACTACCACAAGGTACAGGTTTCAGCCTAATAAGCTTTGTCAACCACACCGTAATAAAACTTATTAATTAGAAAATAATTTGAGAAACTGTCAGTTAAACTGTAGTATGGCATTCTCAAGCATTTCTAGAATGTTTCTGGATAACGTAGCCATTCTTCTCTTAAGATAGGACTCTACAATGATAGTGTTCATGTTAGAATTTTCACTTCTGTTTTCTTTTCCTCTCACATGCACCTTTTTGGCCCCAAAGGGTTGCTGCAGATGTTTACACTGAAATTATTCCTTCTTTATAGTTTAAGCCATTTTAGCTAGAGAGTATTAATATCCCTTTCTGTTGTGCTTTGCACGTCCACATTGACTGTCCCAGCTGTTTTGCTCTTGGCTCTTGGATGGGCCACAGAGATGAATTTCTGTTAACATAGTAAACATCCTGTAACAACTGATTCCATGTGCCTTGACATTCTAGAGCTTCTGAAAATGGCATACTTGGGTTGTTGTTTTGTTTTTTGTCTCACAGGGTTTTACTGTGTAGCCTTGGCTGTTCTGGAGCTTGCTTTGTAGACCAGGCTGGCCTTGAACACACAGAGATACACCTGCATCTGCCCAAGCTCTAGGATCAAGGGCATAAGCCACCATACCCGGATATGTAGTTAAATCTTAAAAGTAAGTAAAAGAGAGAGGGGGAGAAAGTATGTGTGTGTGTTTGGAGACAGTCTTACCGTGTAGCCCAGGCTGGCCTCTTCAGACTTCCTTTGTGATGGGATATTTATCTGTCTTTCAGAGAAGCTATGGAGACCTTAGGTTATATTTGTGTTTTGTTTAAAATTGGCATATACAAACACACACAGAAGAAGGTTTAGTCAGATGTGAGATCTTTGTCACTTCACTGTTTTTCTGTGAAGATGTCTTCCTAAGCAGCAAGCCGCTTAGGGCAAGCAAGCTCATGTTTAAAGATTCTGGACAGCAGCTTTTGGTGTTCCATGTTTATGGGCTTGGTTTTCATCTGTGCCTCTAAAATGCATAAGGTTGCAAGTAGTTCTGCCGTTACCATAGTTTGTGTGTGTTTCATTATGTGTGTCATTTGAAATGGCAGCTAAAACACCATGAGGAATTATCAGCTGGTAGAAACTGCTTTTCCTATGTCAGAACAGCCAGTGTGGCTTAGTTGGTGCTTCTGTTGCTAAGTAGGGAGGTTTCTGGTCTCGAGGCTACTCATTAACCCTGTAAGTGCCCAACAGCAAGCCGAGAAGATAAAGAAAAATAACCCTGTGTTTTCTCCTGTATCATGTTTTGTCTGAGTGCATGAAAAGTGGAATAGGGCAGCTTAAGCCTGATTTACTCATTCAGAGGCCAAGGAGGAGAGCTGGGAGATGGTGAGGGCTCCAGGTTAGCAGTTTTCACTGGGTGATGGCTCCAGTAGTTAATAGTAAAATTCTTAGCAATGTGATCAGAATTGCGGTTGGATTCCAGTGAGGACCGGGGTTAGCTCTTCTCTTTGGCATTTTTCTCTGTAAGCCTGCCTTTAATTGCCCACGTGGCTGTGTTGAGAGGAAGAAGGAAGAAAGGGGTTGCTGTTTGCATCCATTTGCCAGAAAGGAGTTAACAGAACATACCACAAAACAGGTTGGGCAAGACTGTTAAAGTCAGTGATGAAGCCTGCCTCCCCCCTTCTTCTCTTCTTCCCTCCTCTTCCTTCTACCACCTTTACCACTTTCAGGGCTTTAAAACATCTTTGGGCTATCGCCTACATCCCCCATACCCCCACACATAACCCCAATTCACTGTCTGGCGTCCTCGCTCCTAGTCAGAATACTTGATGTGAATAAAATACTTTGTGCAGATGAGGAGCTTGTCTGCGACAGGCAGGCAGCCTAGCCAGCTGTTTCTCAAGCAGTCGATGGTGCCCTCTGTCATGTAACATAGGCCCTATTCAGCAGCAGCATTCTTGAGTATGCATTTATGCCTCTGTGGGACTGTGGAGTGTACAGCTTGGGAGGGAGGGGGCTGTGGAGGCAGGATGAAGAAGGAAGTGTGTACATTCACACAGAGTCAGAGAGCAACGAGCCACTCAGATGCCACTAAGTCTGAAGACCTTGTTGTTTGAAGCATCTTTAACTTCAGGGGTACCATGGGGCCTAGAATTTAGGAGAACTGGGTTTATTGCAGGATATAAGTTCTCCATGGTGTTTGCATCCATTCATCCCATAAACATACCATATATAGTCATGCTTGAGCTCACTATAACATCACAAGGGAAGCACTCCTAACGCACGGTTCCTTTCTCGCTGAGAAGCAGACTCACAGAGGCTATTTCTGGTGTGTTGTGGCTTGCTGTCTTTGGGGAGGGGGAGAAAAGAGGCTCTTGCTTTCCATATTTACACTGTTCCCAATGTTTCTGATTCGTGTTTGCCTAGTACTCTGAAAGTTAAAAGGGTTTTACCGTCATGGGAGGAAAAACAATTCTCTGAGTGCATCTGTTTTAGAATAGAATTCTGTTTTTCTTAGCGCCTAACATGGCATACATTTCGTTTTATGGGCCCTGATCTCCCACTGTTCTGAGAGCCTCCTTTCATGTTGTTAGGGTGAGCCGTACCCTGTAACGTGTAGTATTTACTGGTGGCCATGGAAAAGTTTTTCCTGTTTCCTTTCCCAACCTTCCTGAACTGTCCAGATTATTTACCACGTGTTACTTTAAGATGTTCAGGGCAGGGCACACAGCTTCTGTGGCAGTATTCAAATTTGACAGAGTTGGGTCAGCTGAATTGAGGTGGCAATGAGAAAGAAATGCAGTTTCTTTGTCTCCTACCTTGAATGCTGTATTTCAGCTTGGAGTGAACATCGGGGCATTTGTGGTTCAGATGAGAGGTCCGTGCTCCCCACCCCCACCACCTGCAGCTGCTTACGCTCCTGCTCCCTGGAGTGTGTCTCTTCTGAGGACATGTGTAAATAACTTGAGGGAAAAGATGGTTTGCCAAGCTGGGACTTGAATAGTATTAAAGAGACAAGATTGGTGCTTTCTGTTTTGTTTTCTTTCATTAGCCTCATCAGAATGAATTTAAATCCGACTGTGTGACAGTTAAT